TCGGAAACGCGTGCCGCTGTAAAGTAATAAGACAAATATCCACATACACGCAAAAAATTAATGTGCAGTTATGCAGATTGGGCAACACTATACACCATCTCTTTCTTAGCAATTCACAATACAATATACTTCCTTAGAACATCGAACACTAAATTTGTAATCTCCCCTACATTCTAAAACACTTTTAAACTAATCTACCTGTATTTCTTTCTAAGCAAGGGTGTGATGCGAAAACTCATTGTTGCATTTTGTCGCTAACTAAATTTTCGATGGATAAAATGCAAAAGAGGAGTCAGCTTTGATTGTTTTATGTTTTATGATTCTTCCAGTGGTGGCTTGCTATAATAAACATATTGCAATAGATTTTTTTGTTAGATAACTTTTCAGAAACATCGTCGATATCACCATGGCATTTGACAGCTACTCAAATTACGTATCGAAGCAGATTCTTATAAACTAGCACAGTTGACATGATCATCCTGATATGCTCTTTAATAACCATAGCTTAAGGCAAAACAAAATTAACATATGCAGAGTAAATTCCCGCTTCTCACCAAAAGCCAACCGATAATATTTTTTGAATGGATCAGATTCAGGATCAGGATGCTGAAACTTGTGGTGATGAAGAATTACTGTTTTTTAACGTGAAAGTGGCAGTTGAAGATTTAAAGAAGATGGTTATGCACCATGTTCGAATATTTTTTGAACAGAATGAGGGTCATGCGATGCCGTTATTTGTAGATTTTCATAAGTGTCTTGAACTACACGTTTACTATCTTTTGGAACGGCGGACTGACGGGTAATCAAATTTGAAAATTTCAGTGCAATGAATCCTTAATAACACAACACAAAACGCTGCAGGATGTAATATCAATCTTTTGCCTTCGAAGGAATCTATCTGAATATTCAAAAAAGTATGGGACATACCGTTCAACAGAATTTCAGACACTGGATTTTAATAACTGAATGTTCCATCTGTCAGGAGCTTCAGAGTGGAGTATCTCATGACCCCCTATTCCATTCAAAATAAGTGGATGAGATGAGAATTTTGAACTGTATGCAATCCAACCAACATCAACAACGTGTCGATTTTTTCTATTTTGAATTTTCAACGAGTAGCTGCAATCAATTCCAACCATTGTACAAAATTTGCGTTAGCAGGGACAAAACAAAAATTAAAACGCTTCGCTTGAGAGTTTCTTTGATTTTTGCTCTTAGGTCCTTTATACCTCATGGAAGAGTGTCTTTATTGTTGACTTGCAACTCCTGATGTCTCATTGCAAAATACCCACTTGACCTCCTTTATTTGCATTAAGCTATTGGTGAGAGCAAATGACTGAACCTTTGCTTGTTTATTATTACCACATCCAAAGGTACAAAGCATAAACATATTTTTAATAAGCTACACATTGATTTTAAAAGCCACCACTGTACTCTGCACTGATCAAGATGGTTTGCTATATATGCTAGCTCTATCTCTATCTATCTTTTATGCTGGTTTTTGATACAAAGGACTCGTTATGTATCGATACCTGTTTGATGTGCTAGCTGTGCAACTTCTTTGTGTTGTTATGATTTTCATTTCCGTTCTTTCCGTATTTTTGTGTATATCCTTTGCTCCGCAGGAACTAGAATCTGGAGAATCGTTATAGGAATTTTTAAGCATTACTGGAGTATATCACAATCACAAGCAGACTCTAAAACCTTGGGAAGAGTAGAAACACTTTTTCAAATCATTATTCTAATACCGTGTTATGTGTATATGCAAATTCTGTTTTTATTAGTCGCCTACGTTTTGAAGTTCTAGTTCCTGCTATAACTGATAGTTTTCAGAACTACACATGCTACTGGAACTTATACATTATAGACCACACAGACTGTCTTTTGGAATAAAATTAAGTTTTGAATAACCACATAAGAATTTCGTACCTTGTAACAGCATTCACCTAAATAAACTGTTCCGCGTCGTGAATGTTATGGATAAAAACAGTTATCTCAATATCGTCTGCAGTACAGAGAGAAATTGTTTTACCAATACCTGAAGGTACGAAATTTACTGAATTTTTCGCATAGTAAACTTAATAGTAAAACACCCTGTATATGAAAGAGTCACAGGACAAGCAGTAATATGAAGCTGCTAGTAGCTAGTATAAATAAGTGCAGAACATTTAACTAGATATCACTGTATAAATGCTACCAGGAAAGTTTAAAAGTTTATGTAAACCTTACCACACGTTTGAGCAACTGATTGTACTTATCTCGTGAATATATAAATATATTACAGAAATTTGTAATTGTTTGTTATTGAATTTGTCAAGCATGACGTGTACGTGGTAGTAATTGTACAGTATAAAAAGTACATGTTTATCGTATGTGTCAACTATCTAATACTGTCGCAACGTCACTATTAAGGCACTCGTTGTATAAAAGCAGGCGTCCGGTCATTTAGCTTTTAAGCTATAGTAGGATTCATTGAAACAACAAAGAATACATCTTGGAAACTTGTAATCTTATGCAGAACTGCTACAAATGAAATTATTAATGATCGTAAAATTATCATCAAAACTGCGACGTGAGTAATGGAACGCACACCTCCTAAATATCACTAAATTTGATCTAAATTTTCAAGTTACACTCTGGTACCAAAAGTAGCATGACACATACTGCGACGCTGCCTTCCTTTCAATAGGCAAAGTCGCCTGCGCCGATCCCGCCGTGCTCAGAAGAGGCATCGCTTCAGCAGTTGCATACAATGAGTTACGCTGCTCTCTTTCATTTTGGTATCAGGCTTATCAAAACTTAATCTTAAAAATTCGCGATTTCTCAAAATTACGAGGCTGGAAATAATAATTTAATACTCCGATGGTGCTAGTTTGACAAACGTCGCAATTCTAACAAAATTTAAGCAGACTTTCGGTCTGTTTGGTGACACAACATTACAGGTAGCAGTAACCTAGATAGGTGACAAACAGATCAACAGCCCGACCCAACCTATGTGAAAGCGGTACGAATATTAAGGTTAATGTAGATTTTGTTTAGCAATCTTTAGGTAATGTATATCGTGTGAATCATTCGTGGTTGAGGTTGATCGAGTTTCAATGTGTACGAGTGAAAAGCGTGGAACACATATGATAGATATGATAGAAAAAATTAGAAAGAGCGCTCAGTGACTTTCTTTGCTGTGGTTTACTTGTAGGCGCTCAATTTTTAACCTTTTCTAACATACATTTTGTACGCTACTCTCGATTATTTCGCTTGCATGTATCGAAAGCTGACCGACCACCACCGTATGGTTCGCACGGTATGTCGTATATAAAACCTGGAGACAAAAATAATTTTCACTATACCTTTGAACTTTTGAAGTTTTGCTTGTAATTTAGTAGCCCATCAAATATTTGAACCTATGTAGCTCAATTTGAGGCCAAAAGAAAATCGTGTGCCGTTAATAATATGGCATAAAAAGCACATAAACGTCTGCTTTTATAAAACTGTGGCTATTACTGACAAGAGTGAATATTGTTTCAATATATAAAGTATTTATTCTGAGGTGCATATATGTGAAAGATTGGTGCTGGGGGTAGCAATTTTTGTCCGAGAATATTCCTTGACTTTTACAAAAGTATATAGTCAGAAATGTCAAGATTTCTGGTCCACGTGGGTCCTAATGATTCTTAGGAAATCCAGGGCCAGTTCCATGAAAAAGTACCTCCGATCCTCACTTCACACAATTAGGATGTGTATGTCAAGTTGTACCCCTAGCCTGTCTTTTCATTTAGTTTCACGACATTATTTTTGTCCAAGTGCCACCCGAACGATGGGTTATTCTTCTGTTTGTGTGATTGTTCATAGATTTACTGAGATATTATACATGTCACACAGTCCATTGCTTTCCAAAGAGTCTGAGCTAAACAGTTCTAGCATGGCCACCATTTTTTGATAACCTTTGGGGTTGTTGTAAATTTCAGTGTTTAACTCTATCAGACTGAGTATATGAGAATGTTGTAATCTGTCTAAAACCAACTCCAACCCAACGAGCCAATCGTAAAATAAAATTTCCACTTGTTTCAATATTCCAGAATGGGATCTCGATAATAGAATTCAAAACTAGCTAAAACGGTCAGCATTTAACTCATATTTACCTTGTTTTCTAAGTAATCTGACATATATAAGGGGAAATAACTGCTGAAAAAATCTCCATCGTAAAATAAGTATGTAAGATTGAAACATTATTTCATATGAACTATCTCAAAATTATCAGGATAAATTTGATCCCATCTTCTCCAAAGGTAAATTTTGCTATACATCTGCATTATAGACTGTCTCGCTGTAAACTGACCGCCTCTAAGATTTTATATAATACTATGGAGAAAGTTCTATGCAATGGTCACAGGGTAGAATATAAAAAACTATCGAATGAAGTTATTTATTTTATGCCGAACACAATGCATATTTTCATTGCGTTTTTTTCTGATTTGAAGTATATACTGTGCCTTATAATTTGGATACATATATATCAATTAATGACACATAAGATTTTGATTAAAGTAATGAAAGGGGCACAACAACCCATATACATGTATAATCCACTTAAAATATAAGGGGTGTCCCATATAAAAAAATTATAATTTGTTCAATAGGACCTTCCTGAGGCAATAAAAAAGATATCACATCAAAATTTCAGATTATAGAACTTTTTTCCCTGAACGGTCGTACAAAATAATTAGAGGGGGTTAATTTGCAGCGGGGCACCTCGTACATACTAATGCCTCCCCCTTGAATTTATTAGCTAAGTGAGAAAGTATTTTGCATATGTGTATCTCAGAAGTGAACACCCGTAAGCGTTGACGTACTACTTTAAACTGTACTTCTTCCGAGTAAACCGTAAGTCAGAAATATCAAGCAAAATCAAGCAGATAAGAGCAACGAAATAACGAGTCTTTCTGTGTTTAGAAATCAGCACAGTGCTGACTGTATGTTGTTTGTCTGTCTGTTTGGTCTAGATGCCTGCCTTCCTGTGTATACCTCTCAGTTAGACTCGCTGAACACGTCTACGACACCGAACACTCTCACCGAGCACCAGCAGGTATATTCAGTCATTTAACTATACGCCCTAAAGTATACTCGCTGATATATCATTTAAGGGCTGTTGGTAAATACCAACTGCTGCTTCATACCTCGCATTTTGATAGCCACAGACGTCTTTTGTGTGACTGAGTACAAGAGTACATTGAGTACATGTTACCGCTCTAGCATAACGTTACAGCTGCTTTGTATACACTGGTTGGTTAGTTTTTGGGGTAGAGAAAGCAGCATTTACCTAACACTTCGCCGCCTGTACTAATATCCATGATGTGTCCAGGTTAGTGGCACAGGATTTTGAATACACGTGCTTATCGGTATCGCTACGACGTCATTCGTCTGGAATTTTCTTTACTAGGCTTGTTGATAGCTAAGCAAGGCTGATTTTGGACCAAAATTTTTAATGAAACACATTTATGTTTTAGTACGTTATTTACTTTGTTTTTCATTGTTCTTGAGAGATTGGCTATATTTCTTTCCAATTTTGCATATTTTACTGACGTTTCAGGCATGCCTGTACATTTCATTACACAAACGGCGTATGACCTGCATATGCTATATGCTGTAGCAAATGTGCTGGCACATGTAGAGCGACCACTAACTATGACTATTTGGTATTGTATAGACTTATGGGCAAGTTGTGTATGCAAAATCGCATAATAAATGAGAATAAATCGAGGAACTGAGTATAAAATTCAACGAAATTTACACTAGTCTGACTTTTACTGTAGATATACTTTGTGACGAAAAGGTTTACATCTACGTATGTTTATTAGAATATTCAGGCACTAATGGAGGCTCATCTTATTCCATATCTAAACACCATTCAAAATCCGATTTTTCAGCGAGACAATGGCAGACCGCATGTTGCCAGAGCATCGTTAGCCTTCAATTGATCATCATCGCATCAACCATTTACCTGAGCCACCACGTTCGCCTGACCTAACTCCAATTGAGCATGTCTCGGACATGATAGGTCGCAGGCTCTTTAATTTCCAACACCCTCAACAGACTTTAGCAGCTCTTACTCACGAAGTTGCAGTAGCCTGGAATGAGATACTCTAACAGGATAAAGACCACCTTATCAGAACGATGCCCAGGCATGTCAATGAGTGTATAAGAAATCGTGGATCCTCAACACATTATTGAACCAGCTTCTGCAGTAAGTTGACGACTCAAGCTGAAAATTTAATCATTTTACTAGTAAGCGACTCTGAAGATATAGGCCAAAAATTATTAAAATCGAATAAACATACGTAGGTGTTTACCTTTTTATGTCACTCAGTATGTATATTGATCACTTCTGAGCCAACTAACGATTTCGATCTACACTTTTGGAACAACATGTCGAGATAGTGCGAGATATACGCTTTAGTATGAAAGATGCAGCAAGAAAATGATAGACCACTTATTTTGTTCACTTGATGTAAAAGATAAGCCACGAAAGCTAAACTGAGGCCAGACATTTCCTTCAAACAAGCATTGAGAATGTTGACAAACATGAATATAGTGCTAGTATAGTTGTGGAAAACAACAAACGGGTATCAATGAAGAAGCTGTATACGCTGTGTGTATCTGACGGCTCTTTGTAATAAGATAAAGTCTGTTTTAAGGTATTGAGGAACCACTCTAAATACTATGAAAAAATGTATCAATAGCATATAAGGAATACTTGCAGCATTTATACAACAGTATCACTTTAAAAGGTAGAAATCACTGTGAAATTGAAAGAGCGTTATTAAATAAATGTACGAAGCAGGTTTGGTGCCAGCAGCCTCCTAGATAATCTGATCATCTTAACAACTCATCTCCTACTTCCTCTCAGGCTGTTGCATCGCATGCTTATTGGCTTGCTATTTATGTTGCTTGATTGTTGTTTGTTAGCCTAGGTGATTTGTTTATGTCAAACGTTTTTGGGGACAGCATGACCTACTACTCTTAAACTTTTGAAGAATGATACATGGTGAGAAAATATGTTTCTTAAAATTTGCGTCAATTTTCCTGCAAGAAATTTGGTTTAAAGTAGGTGTCTAATTCAAACGAACTTATTTGGTGTCAACTTCTTTACAGACATCTGTCACTCCTATTTTCTTTGCACTATATACATATCGTCAACACTTGTTATATACACCACTAATTCAATTGAGCACCTCTATACCTTTGTATTTCCTATACACATCCAGCACAATGATTAATTTGCTCTTGAACTACAAAACTGGCGCTGATGCAGTTCCCCTGATTTAAAAACTCTCCTTGTACACAAACTTGTTCAACTGCCTTTTCTATATCTATTCCTTGTACCTACATCTTGTGTGTTCATGAAATTTCTACAACTACATTCCATAGTTCAACAGAAGACATACTGTGACCTCAACCAGAAAGAAAAGTCAACAAGACGTCGGAGGTCGGTGTGTTACCTGGAAATAAATGTTGGAACAGATTAGATTAACTGAGAAGTATGTACATCAATGTAGATTTATACATGTTCAAGAAACACCAGAGCTAAAGCTATTGTAATTATTATCTAAAATGCGTTCTATTCGACATAGGAGACGAGAGTAATTTAACAATTTTTTTTTTGAAATTTGATTGCTGTGGAATACGAAATATAGATGTTTACTAATTCATTTAACTTCACCTTGCAAGCTACGAGCACAGTAACGATATTTACACTAGGCCGTATTGTGGAAAACTTTATCAACACACATGATATTTTTATGAGATTTATAATAGCACTACGGATAGTTTCCATCCCACCTTCGAATGCATTGTCTTTGGAGTTATCATGCTTTCTCTTTATCTATATTTCTTCATTTCTACATCTTTACCTGTCAACTTCATTGCTTCTTCTCTCTTTTCTGAGCATTTTATTAACGTGAGAAATGGATCTTATGACCAAATTTTAGGAAATACATGCTGGCAATAATAATTTTTTTGTTTTTGTAGGTAAAGCAAAATTAGGAGAAGTCCATTACATGTTAGATATATAGAACTAAAATTATTTAAAAAAGGTACATACTACTTTCTCATTTTATCTAGATTATTTTATTGTTTTCAAATCAATAAATATGTGAATGTATATAATATTCTCACTCATCTTGGATATATGATATGAGCTACAAAAATAAACAGTACTTTCATAATAAGTGAAATCATATCTTTTGGAGGTGTTTTGGATAATTATCTCTATTTGAAATCAAGCAATTTCCGGGTCCACTGATATTTTGCCAATTATCTGTAATGAGACTTTCTCATATTATAAATAGAGTTTCTCCATGTATGGATCTAGTTAAGATATTGTCAAATCGAAAACGCAGTCTGTTAACAAGGACTAATTTCTAATAGTAAAGATGAAAATGCTATACAGCTTGTAGTTTTAAATAACCCGACTTCCTTCTTTTTGCATACGTTCATCTTTTCGGAAGGTCCTCGACAGTGTTCAAAAACCATCCAAAAGCATGTTATGACATTTTGTTATAGCATTACATAAATATCAATAGTATAGATGCAGTACGTTTTTAGATGCCGCTTGATAATAGGGTGACAAAATTTCCTATTTTTGGCCAGCTTAGAAACGATGGTTAGAGAGAATATTGTGTAACGCGAAAATTAGGAACCACATGTCAAACATAGGTTCAGTTTGCTAGTGCTAAAGCTTTAACTTGCTGTATTTGGCTCATATTTAAGTATAGAAACTTCAGAAGTAAATGTTTTATATAATGAAGAAATATAGCTCTTTTATGTTTTTATTACACATAAAGTGAGTTAGCAGGAATGGATGGTTACATTAGAAAATAATAATTTCTCTAATTTGACCATTCAGCAGCTATGGTATAACATCGAAACCGCTTGCTTGCTGCTAACCATACCCATTCTGTAAATATTCACATCTCCAAACCACCAAAATCAATAAACACATATTTTTACAGTATCATACTGTTGTACAAATAATAATTGTGTTATAAACATTTGTGAAAGGAGAGTTTGAAACCATCAATTGTAACTCAGCTTTTATACCCAACCAAGGCTGAAGATACTGAGAATGCTAAATGCTTAATTTCATGAGTTTATCATTCATATTTAAGTACAATATCCCGACAATTGTACGAATTAGTTCCAAACCTCAACGTCTTAGTATCGTTAAGGTACTGTGTTTTCAAAACTGACTATGCATGGCTCATCTGGGTATGTGGAGCCATCAACTGGTTGGTTGAAACACTCTCGCGCTCATTAGGAGCTATTGTTAGCTTGAACACAAGACATGCACTAATCTATTAGTAGTTGTCAGTATGTCAATACGTAGCAATGTGAAGTATTACATAAGGTTTAGCTTTATCGTACTTGTTTGCTTCACTATTATAGGGTAGTCGTCACTACTACATCTTTTTTGTTTCGAAATCAGAATATAATTTTGAAATTGCATATGATTACGAGTATATCAGAAAAAATAATACGAAGGCTTTTCCTAAGACATTTAATATTAGTAAATGGCACCATATAATCATGGCTTAAATCTATCAAAGAGATTCAGCCCTCTCTACGCATGTCTTACTTCGCGATATACAAAATTTTAAGATAGATCGACGTCGAATGTATACGCTTAACAGTAGTCTCGAGAGCACATCCATTATAAGGTCATTCAGCATAAGTACCTGAAGGATACATACATGTTGATGTCCATTACTATATACTATTATCAAGCAAGGATACTTTATAAGAAACAGTGAACTATCGAAAGTCAGTAAGCTTCGCAAGTATATGGAGCAACGAATCACGATATATTTTGAATCTATAGTTTTATCTTGACCGTTCAGTTTTCACATATCAATTTGAGATAGATCATTTGATTATCTAGAAAGTTTTATATACCAGCTATTTGTATCAGAGCGGTTAGCAATGTTGCTCCCAATTAATGCAGTCCCTAGTATAAGTCTATTTTTAGATGGATGAGTAGTAGTACATTGTTAGTACTATGGGCTCGGAAAAAAGGGTCAGAAGTGACTT